TCCTTGGGTTTTGGGCCAGTGAGTTAGGGGTTTAGGGGTTTAGTTCAGGGGTTTAGGGTTTAGGGTTTAGGTGGCTGAGGGAACCTAGTTGAGGGATGATGCGAGCTCCAACTTTCTGCTCCCACCTTATGCCGTACACCCACCGGTGTCAGATTTTTCTCAAGCGCATAGGACAGGCATCCTGTCGATTTCGTTCAAAGGGATCCGAGGCAGCCAGTAAACTTTAGTACCCTAAAACATTAAATCCCGGAATATACGGCAATGCATGATCGGTTTTATCACATTATGTCATGACTGGGAGGCCCTGGTATATTCAAAGTAACGCACTGCCCCCCCCCTTTCAACCAAAAGTTGATCAATCATTAAGGCCGTAAAGTGAAAGTCCTGGGCTGTACACGATAATTTCGGGCACCCTCTATTCTCTAGGAACATCTTAAACTCCCGATCCCGCAGTAACCCAGGTTGCGGTTGAAGTCGCATTGCCCGGCCCTGGCCGCAATGCGCCCCGGTCGCTGTACGTAAAGGCTTTGAGGGTTTAGGGTTGCGGGCTTTGGGGATTGGGGTTCCCTCAACCCTAAACCCTAAACCCCTAAACCCTAAACCCCTAAACCCCTAAACCCCTAAACCCTGAAACCCTAAACCCTAAACCCCGGAGGTTTCCGTAGGCCTTGGGTATTGGTGGGAAGAAGGTCTTTGCAAGGGCCTCCATTCTGCTGCTACGGTTTAGGGTTTAGGGTTTAGGGTTTAGGGGTTTAGGGGTTTAGGGTGTTGAGTAATCAGGAGATTGCTTTTCATTACTTGGGGCCTTGCCCTAGAACCTGAACCCCTAAACTAAACCCAAAACCCCAAAACCCTAAACCCTAAACCTTAACCCTAGACGATTGGCCCGAACAGGCGTGAACCCGAAACCTTTTAGCGCCGAACTCCCAAGCACCTGGCTGATATGTAAACTTGTCCTAAACCCTACTCCCTGCTTTGGGCCCTGTGTACAAGAGGCCTTCAAAAGAAGTAAGCACACCAATATAGGGGTCTAAAGGCTTCAAATAATTCCAAGTACTATTTTGGTGGTTCCTTGTTATAAGTATACTAAAATGCACCGCAAAACCCTATTCTACATTTCAAGGCCGCTACGGTACTTTCATGAGCGAGTTGGGGGGCTGCAGGTGTTCGACGATGCTTCGCCTGTGAGGCCTCCGCTTTCTTTTAGGGATACTCTGCCCCAAGCCAAAAAACCCTAGACCCTAAACCTTAAACCCCAAACCCCAAACTAAAGACTTAAACCCCAAACCCCAAACTTAACACTTAAACCCCAAACCCCAAACTTAGACCCTAAACCTTAGTCCTCAGACCCCAACCCAAAACCCTAAACCCGAAACCCTAAATCCTCAACCCTAAACCCCAAACCCCAAACCCTAAACCCTAAAGCAATCTTGAGGGGATCACCAGAGCTTAATATAGGGGCTCAAAATATTACCAATACTCTCTTGGCGGTTCCTTATTATAACTATAGTATAGTATAGTAGACCCCAATACCCTATTCTAATTATAAAGGCCCCTAACCCTAAACCCTATTCCCTAAACCCTAAACCCCTAACCCCAAACCCTAAACCCTATTCTACTTATTAAGGCCCCTACATTCTATTCCCAGGCTCCTTCGCGATCGTCCGGGGGCCTCCTTGGAAGGCACGCGGTTCACGGCCCCGTGGCGAGAGATGGGGGGTTTTGGGTTTAGGGCATTGGATTTTTTGGGAGTTTAAAGGTTTAGGGTTTAGAGTTTAGGGCTTTTAGGGTTTAGGGTTTAGGGTTTAATTAGGGTCTGGGAGTTGTAGGAGTAGGAGTTCAAAGCTTGGTTTAGGGTTTTAGGGTTTAGGGTTTAGGGTTTGGGAGGTTGTAGAAAGGTCTTGTAAGGGCTTCAAAAGTGTTTTGTTTAAAAGTTCTCACACGATTGTAGTTGGTGTTGCATGGTTTTGCAAAGGTTTAGCTACGAATATTTTCAGTGGGGTTTTAAAGGTGACTCCAGGGAGAGTGTGGGGGTTTGGGCCTAAACCCTAAACCCTAAACCCTAAACCGTCAGATATATTAAGGAACCCCAACTTAGGTTTCGTGTGTTTGGGGTGTTGTGGTGAAGGAATCTTTTGGTTCTGAGAGTGTTCGTGTTTGTTCGCCACCCTCGGTGTGGGGTTTAGGGTTTAGGGTTTAGGGTTTAGGGTCAGCTATTACTCCTCGCCTTCTGAGACTCCCTGGAGTGCCCAACCCCACAGACTACCGTGAGACTCCTGGAGTGCCCAACCCCACAGGCCACCGTGAGACTTCCTGGAGTGCCCAACCCCACAGACTACCGTGAAGGTGGGGATGTTCGAAGTAAAATAATTTACTTGTCGGGGTTTAGGGTTTAGGGGTTGAGGGGTTTAGGGTTTAGGGGTTTAGGTTTAGGGTGTAGGGGTTTAGGGTATAGCACCCCGCCCATTCCCCGAGCAGAAAAAAAACAACCCGAAAGCCGCAGCCCTGAGCCTACATAAAGCACGGCGTACAGGGTTCAGGGCTTGGGAGTTTAGGGCTTAGGGTTTAGGGCTTAGGGTTCGGGCTTGGGTTGAGGGCTTTGGGTTTAGGGTTTAGGGCTTGGGTTTAGGGCTTAGGGTTTAGGGTTTAGGGTTTAGGGCTTAGGGCTTCGGGCTTAGGGTTTAGGGCTTTGGGTTTAGGGTTCAGGGCATAGGGTCTAGGGTTCAGCGTTTAGGGGTGCATAGAGCACTGCCAAGCAAGAGAGTACTTAGCATCGAGCTTCGAAGGATGATCCTGCATAATATATAGGGTTTAGGGTTTAGGGGTTTAGGGTTTAGGGTTTAGGGTTTAGGGTTTAGGGTCTAAATAATCACCAATTCTATTATTAGTGGGTCCTTATTAGAATGATAGTATAACTGGCCCCAAAACCTTATTCTTATTATTAAGGCCCTGCATTACGCTAAACCCGCCACCCCAAACACACGGAACAAAGACCAGAGCTTATTATATCCTAGCTAGGCCCAGAAACCTCTTATAGAACCCCAAACCCCCAGTTAAAATCCTTATCGGGAACCCTAAGCCCCTTATAGAACCCTGAAAGAACCCTAAACCCCTTTGTACAATTTTTAAGGAGCATTAAACCCCTGATAGCACCCTTATGGAACCCCAGACCCCCTTAATGTAGGGGCCTAAATAATTAAGGCCCCTATATCCTAAACCCTTATAGTAGGTGGGCGCGCCTCATTTTCCCTAGCTTTCTCCTGTGTTTCTTGCACATAGAGGGTGTTATCGTGTGTGTTTTTTGCAGATAGGCGGCATTCTGGTGTGTTTATCGTAAGGTTTTTGCGGTTTCCTGTGTTTTTTCCAGTGTTAGCATCTAGCATCCGTGTTCCCAGAGAGCATCCATGTCCAAACCATGTTAACGTCCACACGAAGTCCGTCCGTTCCCACAGAGGGCAGGCACGAATCTGGCTTTGGGTTCGGAAAAGGTCCTTTGGCCATCTCCCAAAAGCTCTCCCAAAGCCTTACGCCCTGAACCCCTCTAAGAAGCCACGATAATCATAACAATATCAATAATTTACAATCATGAGAACAATCACAAGTATTCTTAGTATCCTGTCGGGCAAGGTCGTTCTGAATCAGTTTCTTGGGCGCTTGAAGTTGCACAGATTTGGACTTCTAGAAGGATTAGTTCTTTAAAGGCCCCAAAACTAGCTTATGCTCAAAAGTCCCACGCCTGCCACGTAAGACGAACCTTAAAGCAACCCAAACTACCAGTGAAAAAACAGCGCGACAACCTTATAGTAGCCCTTCTAGAACCCGTTGTTGCGATGTCATCTGATAGCACCAATTGGTAACTGGCAGGTGCAAAAGAAAAAGCGCAGAGCGCACACTGCAAGTGAAGTAGAAAAGCGCACGACAAGGTGGGAACCCGAAGAACAAAACCCAGGCCTAGGGTCCTAAGGATTTAACCGGCGAATCTCCGCACGAGCGGCGCGCTGCTGAGCCGGGGTATGATAACCATGCCTACGCAACATAGCATTCTGCCGACGGCGCGGCATTTGCAGCACTTCAAGAAAAGGCACCAGGGGCGCCGAGGCTTCTCTCTGACGTCTTTGGGCATCAAGTGCACATTTCAACTCAGGCCGACTGGCCTTGGTCTTAATGACGGCTTCGAGTCTTTGTAGCAACCGATGCGCGCTATCATCTTCTGCCTTCACCGCGGATGACCGCTCAGCAGATCTGGCAGGGGCCGAGCACTCACACTGTGCAAGGCACATCCAGTGGCCTTTGCGACGCGCATCACCACAGAGCACACAATGAGGGCGTTCAAGCAAGCGCTCAACAGCAATCACATGGAGAGCCCGGTTACGGGCTTTGCCATTATGATCAGTAAGCTTAGCGAGGCGGCGTTTCATCTGCATAGCAGCTTGTTTGTTACCGAACGTGACTTCCCCTTCGGGACATGCTTCAACGGGCTCATCCTGCGACCCACGGGCCTCAGTGCCCGGCTGGGACAAGCAAGACACAACCGAGGGAGCACTCT